GAGGAATTCAGATGAGGCATATATCATTGAGATTTGAGCCAAATTTAGGTCATACCAAACTATGAGTCTGTCTTGACATATTGTTGAACTCGAGCATGGCATGTGAATATTATGCCAAGAGTGGTGTGGAAATGTGTAGCATTTGCTTATGACTCTTCAATAAAAATGCTAGCAAAGAAACTATACTAAACTTTACAGGTGAACACCAGAATAACATTGAGTAAAGTTATCTTTATCAGACATCTATTTACATATCGTGTTGCAAGCCATGGTCAAACACGTGGTTTTGTAAGACGAGCTAAGCTTAAGTTTATTTGTCTCCATCATTGGCCAAACGCGAAGGAGTAATTAGTTTAGCACCTTTTTGACCCAGTTAATCTGTGCAATTTTTACAGTAAATGTACCTTTAGTATATTTTCTTTGACCATAGTTCAGTAATGAGAATGGTAATACAGATAAGAAAACAAGAAAAAAATATATGCAATGAATGAAGGTAAAGAGACTCTCAATAAGATGGAGTGGTATTACCTGTATTAAAGCACCATGACATTATGTGTATTGCATATTTACTTTACATACATAACAAACACACACACACACACACACACACACACATACATATATTATACTTTCATTCTGTAGCATCCATCGCGTGGTTATGCATGATCTGTGCTTTGTAGAGATACGATTCATGAATTAGAATTGGAAGGGATTCTAGAGTGGCTGCGCAAGGCGGTGCTTGATTCACTCTTAGGTGAATTAAATTGTGTGATAAGCTCTTGGAAGTGACTGACACTGAAATGTGAATCACTGGTTGAATTTCCAGCCTTTGGGTATACCTGGAATCATTAAAAGTAAAAAGAAAAAAAAAAGTTGTGGCCCGTTTGCATGTATGCGTGTGCTGCATGTAATCCGTATCAGCGTCTATTGCGCATGTACTTGTCTGTGAATCTATAGCCTAGGAAATTAGTTCCTCCCTCTCCCTACAATTTCCACACTAACCCCCCTCCCTCCTCCTCCCCCCTCAGCCCCACTTCCCCTCCCCTTCCCTTGGAACCATCCAACTGGAGGAGCTCATGACAGCTCGTATGACAGTTACGTGTGACCAGGATGACTTTCGTCGCCGTGACAGTTCCGTGGACGCTGGGGTTGGTCGCCTCACACTGCACCGTGACTTCCCTCGCCTGGTTTGACCTCATGATGTACTTGGTCAGGTCAGAGGTCGTGATCCAGCCGCCAGTACTCACGCGGGTTACCAAAGTCTGTTCAGAGTCGTATGTTCTCCCTGCAAAGGCGGAAAAAAGGATGGGGGGGGGGGGGATTCTTCAATATATTTTTTTATTTATGCATTATTTTGATTGTTGTTTTCTATACGAGGCCTGTGATGGGTGTTGTTGTGTTGTTGTTTTTATTTTGTTTTGTGTTTTTGTGATATTGTCAGTTTTTTTTGTTTTGTTTCATTCTTTCTCTCTTTCAGATTACATTTTCTTATTCTTGTCTATGTGTAATCTTTTTTTCTCTCTATCCTCCCTTCTCTCTTTCTCCCCCCCCTCGTCTCTGTTTCTCTCTCTCTCTCTCTCTCTCTTCTCCCTCCCCCCTCTCTCTCTCTCTTCTCCCTCCTCACCCCTCTCTCTTTCTCTCTCTTTCTCGCTCTTTTCTCTCTTCTTTCTTACTTTCTTTTCTTTTCGTTTCGTTTCTTTTCTTCTCTCTCTCTCTCTCTCTCTCTCTCTCTCTCTCTCTTCTATCCCCCTCTCTCTCCCTCTCCCTCTCTCCGCATATACAACACGACGACCTCTAAAACAAACAACAACACCCGAAACTAAACAACAGCAAATCCCAAACCACAACATACTCTCACAACCCACAGATGGCAACACCTCCTATTAGCGTAAACGGATGAGAAGTGGATGTTGGTTTTCCCCTCGTCGGACACCCGGGGGATGAGAGGTGGGAGGGGGAGGGGGAAGGGAAGGGAGAGAGAGAGAGGGAGGGAGGGAGGAAGGGAAGGAAGAGAGGGAGGAAAAGAAAGCAAAAAGGAAGGAGAGAGAGAGAGAGAGAGAGAGAGAGAGAGAGGGGAGGAGGAGAGCGTATAAGAGAAATAGAGAGAAAGAAAGAAAATAAAGAAAGAGAGAGAGCGTATAAGAGAAAAAGAGAGAAAGAAAGAAACGAGAGAGAGAGAGAGAGAGAGAGAGAGAGAGAGAGAGAGAGAGAGAGAGAGAGAGAGAGAGAGAGAGAGAGAGAGAGAGAGAGAGCAGCTGATAACGCGGCCAGCCTAATGTAGCGTGGCTTCTGTCAAGGCTTAATTGATGCAGACCAATTACCTCTGTCATATTAACACGTAGGAGTCTTTGTATAGATTCGGTTGATCTGGTGGGGGGAGGAGAGGGGGGTCCGGGAGTCGTAAGTGGGGGGGGGGGGGATGATGCTATTGGGAGTGAGATGAGATAAGGGGATATCTGCGTATCAGTTTATTTATATACTGTGTGTACAGTGTATTTTTTTTCCTATTAAATTTTGTTCTTTTGTGTATAGATAGGCCTATATTTCTTATTTATTCTCTCTATTTATCCATCTATCTACCTATATATCAATTTATCTGAGCATAGACATAAAGGCGAGAGGGAATAACAGGCAATATACCCTGTATTAGCCACGTTATAACAGCAGGAGGTCTGGATTCATTGGTCTCGCAGGTGAGTCCTATGGGTGCTCCGTCCTCCACCTGGCTCGGGCCTCGGATGTGAACGACGCTGGGCGGATCTGAAAGAAGGAGGGAGGGGGGGGAAAGGGAGGGGATACGAACGTGTTTTATTTGTTTGGTTTATTTATTTTTATTGTTTAGTTATTGGCTTTTTTGTTTGTTTGTTTGTTTTGGTTTGTTGTTTATTATTATCGTTATGGAAGTTGTTGATTGATAGACGGTAACCGGGTTTGAAAGAAAGGGGTTTCTGTTGATTGCTACACTAATTTTTTATTGTGCTAAATTTGGGCACGTCTAGAAAAAAAGGAAAAAGAAGAAAAAAAAAACGGCACTAAATTAGGTAACTGATAATTGGATCTGAAAGCGCGAAAGTATTTTTATCCTGTTACTGTGAGCGACGTCAAGATTATCTGAAAGAGGTAGTAAAGGTACATCTGCTTTATTAAATACCAAATGACAGGAGTTGGATCTAAACGAGAAATGAACCGTTGTTTGTGTTATTAATGGCATTTGATGACTGATAAATGTTCATAATATCCCTTTTATATATAAAAAATGATGCTGTTTCTTGAGTTTGTGGCCCGTTACATCATGCACTGCATTCCACAAACCACCAAAGATAGTTAGGGATTAGTTAAGCATTACTTATTAGAAATGTTAGCGAAACTAGTTAATTACTCGCCCATGTTAGTGTTATAATTTACAACGAATCCTATTTAATAGAAATTTGTTAGGTTAAAGTACAGTCATTCAACAGCCACTAATGTGATGAAACAAATACACACTTTTTTGTACATACGATTACATAAAACATGTAATTACGAACAATTGCATTGTTGAAGTGCATACCAAACCCTGTCCTCAATTAGTGAGTAACAATTGCTTCAAGGTTCATTAAGCGGTCTTAATCTGTAACTATCTAGTTAATGACTCGTACTTATATGGATGGCGTTATTATTGGTAACATTTATCTGACAAATTACTTTATATCAGGAATTGTGATTGTGTCAGAGTGTGTCAGAAGGGGTTGGGTATACCAGTGTGTCAGGCTGTGTAGGGAGGTGTCATTCTTCGTCAAAAAAAATGTACCATGACTATGGCATATTATTAAAGGGTTTAGGAGTGCCGTTTACGATCTACTAAGTACATTGTGTCAAAATACGTCAGAAAATGTCAGGTTGTGTATCTGGTTGTACAAGAGTAAGTAAAACATGTCATGGCAATGCAATAACCCACTTTAGGCACGTAATAACTTCATATATTATAATCATTAATTGATATTCAACAGAAAAAAGGGTACAATGATACTTCAAATTATGTTAGGAAGAGACTTGTGTAAATGCAATGCCTTTTAGCCTGTGAAAGCACGCGTGGAATTCAAGTCGAAGAGATTGCAAATACAACAACGAAGGGAAGAACTAGATTATAACGAAGTCCTTCTCCCTGTTTTGCTTCTTCGGGGCATGAAGAAGCAATACAGCGAAAAGGCCTTCATCATATTTGTGTGTTTTCTTGTTCTTCCCTTCGTTGTTCTATTTGCAATGTGAGAAGCATGTATCAAGATTCGCAAAGTGTTTTGTAATAAGTCATTTTTTGGATGCGTTGTAGTATTGCAGAGATTGCAAGATACATCAGTCACCATCATCAGAAACGTACAGTGAACAGTGAGCGTAACGTTGGTCCTGAGCTGCTCCTCCAGCAGGTCACTGTTCACCTCACACTCGAACGCCGCCCCGTCCTCGGCCGCCGAAACCTCGACTTCCAGGGAGTTGACGACCCCGCCCCCGTCCTCGGTCGTGGAGGTGTCGTCCAGCACGCGCCCCCCCCTTCGCCACACCAGCCAGGGGGACGGCTTGCCCCCCGAGGCCCTGCAGGTGAGGATTAGGGTCTCCCCCTCCCTCAGCGCCGCCCCCGGGCTGTAGCCACTGATGGTCGGTTTCCCTGGGGGGTCTGTCGATAGGGGAGAGGGGGGGGGAGGAGGATAAATGAGAATGTGCTGTTCTCCCGGCGGGGGGGGGGGTCAATGTGGTGGGGGGAGGGGGACACGCGGGGGGGGGGGGGGTAAATGAGGATGTGGTAGTCGTCGGGGGAAACTAATGGCAGGGAAAGGAAGGGTTATGCCATTTCTTCTCATAAGGTTAGGCCCGCGAGGACACGATCGGGCTGGAGAGATAAGAACACACATACACGCATATAACTATGTAACTAGGGGGGGGGGGGGTACATACACACGTACCTGTATGTATACAGACATTAACAGGTTGTTATGATTGAAGAGAACCGATTTGGGTGACGCAAA